CCCGGAAATGACTACAAACAGTATCAGGCCGGACGGAATGAATTTCACTAATCCTGCTTTACGCTCTACCCTACACAGCCACCATTCCGCATTCTCGGAAGTGTACTTTATTGGTGCAGACAAAGCACCCTTCGTGAAAACCACCTCAGAGTAAAAACAATCCGATTGCTGCAAATTATCACACGGTAATAGCCTTAATACATATTACTACTCATTGTTCCGCATGCGATTACAACCCAAATTTCCGTAACTTTATTGTATCCATAGGTGAATGGCATCTGAGCTTCACTCTCTAGCACTACAACGAACCTGCATCCCTTCAGGGGTATCCGACAAACACATCCGTGTCGGCGAGAGACTCAACTGAAATCCACGCGAATTCCGCATTTATACTAATCTTCAACTGCATATGATAAATGGAGTCAAAGTGATATTCAAGACATCGAAGTAGATTTCAAGAAGCTCATTTACAAATTACTACGGTCTGTGATATTCCTCAATGGATCAATTTCAAAAACCTTATAAGTGGTGAGTTATACTGTGAAAAGATACTTCGATGTCCGCTCTTTTGTAGACTTGGGTTTTCATTGTATACTGCAGAAAATCCCGGTTACTCACTTGCACGGACTGAAATGCCAAATTTAGCTAATACGGGTAAATTTGCGATCAAAACGAATCGGTAAACTGGATGACGACGGCATCGTTTGGTAGAGCGATCTTCAACAACTCTTCCAACGACTAACTGAACGCGATGCACTCTGAGTGTTACGCCTAGCCCGAGTGCGCACTTCGACAGCGAGTTGTTTAAGTGGGCAAATTTTTAAAGTCACCGAACACCTCCAATCGGAAACTCCGTCGTTATTAATAGCTTCAACTTTCTTCAACAGGCGACAGCCCGAAAGTAAAGCGACAGTACACTTTTCTCTAGTGCTGGAAAACAGTTACAAAAATTTCGACTGTCTATAGTACCCTGATGATATATTCATTTCTCTGTAGTAAGACATTAAAAATACTTTTTGTTTTGTGCTGTTGAACCACTACAGGATGTCATTCAGTCTTCACTGTATTCACAGTAATGGCAATCAGGACAACAGTAAAAGGTGAAAGTAATCGCACACAAGAAACATGGCGTTACGCTACATCAAGAGAGAGCAATACATCACTGTCATCGCCAAACTCAAAGTCGGTACCAAAAACCTGGAAATGTATGAACCGGAAACAATTTTGCGTTTCATGTAATCAACGAGTATAGTAGGTTTCCAGTGGCGGAGAACGACGGGCTTCTGCACTTCAACAACGCCTAAAGAAGGTAGGAGCTTCCGGTAAAGAGCGGAAAAATTCGTCTCGTGCTGACTCAACAACGTACTTCCCCATAGAACGTCAACGTTGATCTAACAATATGAAAAAAATATTCGACAATAGCCAACATGGCGTCTAAGGGTAACTATTCAAATTTATCCGTTCGTACAGCTACTGAAATATCGCAAGTAGTGCATAATTAACCCATTTAATACTGCAGTTTCTGTTGCAGTCTCCGAAACTGGCCCACAGCGTAGGGAGTTCCGGTTCCAAAGGCGTCCTTAGGTACGATTGAGACGCGCTCCAGAAAACTGTCATTGTAATGACGCTTAATCTAGCTGAATTCGGGACCATTAGAACGCAGCACAAGATTATTCATACCTTGTGACGCAAATTGCACTGGTTACGCTGGTCGTATGACATCAATAGATGGGGGTTGGATTCGCAGAAGTGCATCCGGAATTCCTCGAAAGTCACGGAGCACCGGAAGTAAACTTTTGTATCCAAATAAAACGCCCCTTTGTATCTGTTCAAAAAACTAAGAACACTCTAAACTCTCAAAATGCTAATTAAAGCTACTTAGGTCTCTATTATGGAACGAAAATCAGTCTCAACACTCTAATCTCTCAAAATGCTAATTAAGGCTGCTTAAGTCTCTATTATGGAACGAAAATCAGTCTCAATAGTCCCAGTAGTTGTCGCGCCAGTGGCCGCTGCGTTCCTTGATGGCCTTCATGCGCTTAATTCCTGTGTCGTTTTTTCCAATTAATCGGGCGATTTTCCCGAAAGGGACCCAAACGTAATGTCCAATGTATTGACACAAGGTCGCTAAACCGACCGAATAAGGCATCAGCGCTACACCGATTGAGGACGGGATTGAAACGTCATCCCGGTTGACTCTATGTCCTAGTCGAGTCACATTTGGAACTTACCAATCGAATAAAACTGTCCACCTGTGTCTGCTGGTTCAGTCCTATCGATTGGAACGTCAAAATCGGGAGCCTGAGCGCAAAGTCGCTCCCGTTGAAGACCGTTGATAGAGTATGTTACAGCTTTTACTGTTTTTGCAAGACGGCGTACGCTGGCTTGCCTAGGGTTCAGCTGCCCGCCTCCCTTACTCCGAAACAGTTTTGTCAAACTGGCAGTTTACGACGTGGAGATTTATGCAACAACGGGCATCGTGCGTGCTGGGAGTCTTGTAGTCAGATCGCAAATACATCAACTTTTGACAAAAATCGTACTTTAGAAAACTCAGCTCCCACGCAGTTTCTCGACTCGTTAAAGTGTTCCTTTCGCCAACAACCCCGACAAATGCGGTGCAACTACTCGGCACTTCAGTGTTTCTACAAATTTTGCACGCGCGCGGCCATCTGATCGCAAATTTCAGGAACGTGTACTCATGTGGATACGGGTTAAGTCTACAAACGTTCCCTGAATATTCACATCCCCGCATCCATACCGAAGACCAACGATATGCATACAATCCTCCGTTTCTCCAAGGTCTGTGTCCCGATTGAACCACGCCACTGGAGACCCCAAGACACCGAAAATACTGATGCAGATGGAATATACAGCTAAGAACCGGAAGCCGGGTTAGCCAGAATGCTTGGAAATTTCCATGGAAGTTTCGCCCTGTAAGTGAAGCTGAAAAGTCGAGAAGCCTCTCCATGTGCGAGTTAATCACTCTGTTGATCATTCTCTTGAAAGTTTATTGGAAAAACGATATAAACATGCCATGACACTGTGCGGACAATACTCCGCTTAACTTAGACCGGTTAAACAGTACCGGCATAAATCACACGGGGTATTGAGAACCCGCCCCAGTTATCATGGCATTAGTAAAGAGAGAATATCAATGTCGCCAAAAGACCAGCACGATCCCCAAAAGAAAACCTCGCGTATGAAGTAAGCATTCGGTGTTAATTGGTGATGAACAGTATGTTTGTTCACAGTATCTATAGGCCGAATCACCTACTCGTCTCCTACCTCAGCGGACATCACTGACCTCGAGCGCCCGTTCATAATTACACGCCAAATCCCTCATAAAATGAGAAGCTAGTCACTTTTGACACAAAACAATGAAAATAAAAATCAATTGCTCAGCTTTAACACCGTTTCAGTGCCTAGCTGCCATACCACCCGAAGGAAGTACGAGGACCGGGATACTGCCAGTTAGCCCAAACCTAGATAGGGGGGAAGTCGAGATGCAGAGTTCGGGTTTATGCAGACAAATGTACCAGAATCGTCTTCTAGAGTTTCTTCCGAATGCTCAACCTTCAGATTTGAATGCATACCGGGACTAGATTGCCGCCTCTTTGCACAGTGCAGGGAGTTTTGCATGCGACACGGCCCAACCAGGCTCATTCAAGCACTGGATGTCAGACCTAAAAATTGATATTGCTTAAATCAGGAGACATCCCACCCTGTACCGAATGTAACTTGACACGACGAATTATTGGACGTCAAGTGAATGTGAGCGTGTTAATCGACGATGAAGTCTGGTGCACACAGAAAGCCAAAGAAATGGAAGAGACCCAGAATGCCAGTGATACGCGGATCTTATCTCACTTGATCCGCCCGAGCGGAACCCGGAAACCACCTGTTAGCGAAACCATCAAGGATCAGAAGGGAATGAGCATCTTGCATAAAGAAGGCCTAGGCCGGTGGGCCGAATACTTCTAACAAAAGCTATCGTGGCCATCAGCTTACATTCATATGGAGCCCACAGTTGATGTAAAACCCTGGACGGCGAATGTTGAACCCCCTACGGCATCGGTTTATGACTGCATATGTTCTCTCAAGCGCCACCGAGCTCCTGGTCTAGATAAAAAAAACCATCCGCATTGTTCAAAGACGGAGGCGAAATCCTCAGTTAGCGCTTGTCTGATCTGTTTGCCTGAATTTGGGAAAAGCAGGTTTTCACTGACAGGTGGAGAGGGAGTCCATGATAGTACCCGTTTTCAAAAAAGGGATTCGTGGTGACTGTTGCAACCACAAGGGGATCAGCTTAACTCCAGTTGTAACGAGATAGCTGACGTCACTTATGTTCCGTCGTCTTATGGTGGCTCGTGAAACACTGACTCGAGAACAGAAAGTCGGGTTCCGGCCAGGTATGGGTTGCCAAGTCCTCACAATTCGTTTGGGGCTAGAAGAACGCCATGCGAACAAACGATGAACAATTTAAATAATCCCGGATTTCCAAGGCGCGATCGAATCGGTTGACCGGTCTGTTCCGCTTGACACGCTTGCCCAAGGACATTTTTGAACATAATACTTTCTTTGTATTATCAGACTTACAGACACGTGAGAGTATACGGAAAGCTCCCCAAAAGCTTCCGTACACAAAATGGTGTCCGTCAGGGGTGCCAACCGTCTACATTCCAATTTAACCTTGTCACCGATGAGATGACGAAACGAACGCTTAAAGATCTTAAAAACCCTGGTGTTCAAATGGTCTGTGAGGAAAACCTTGTCGATCTGGAATATGCAAAAGATATCGTTCTCGTGTTCGAAGAGGAGGATGGTCCTTTGACATGCACATTGCACTCACAAAGTGTAAGGTCAGCTTTGTGTACCAGGAGCGCGACGCATGTGTGCGAACCAACTGAAGCGGAAATGTTGTTGCGGTTATGTATATTGCCAAAAAATAACGGGAGGATGCAACTATACAAAGAAACAGGGTGGAAGATGTGCAGAATTCATTAATAATGTCTGGCTTTCTTTGCCTTCCGGCTCAATGGAGGTTCCGGATCCAGCATATCAACTGCGGCCTCCGTCACCGAGCGATTCGCGTCACACAGGAGCTCATCACTAGTAAGCTTGCAATTTGACTCCACCCATTGACGACGCAATACCGTCAAAAAGGCACCCGTAACTCGAGGGGGGACAGACCACTTTGATTGTAACTCATACCCACTGACAGGGAATTTCGGCGGCTCCCACAGTGCCCAACTTGCACTGAGTTCTGGATCACACCCGACATAGCACAACATCTCGGTGAGAATCGGACGAATCTTATTCTGGGATTCCCTGGAAAGCAAAAGTTCATGTTGATAATGTGGCAGCGCATCCAACCCAGTTAGCCGGGAGCATTCTTCTCGGTGTTTTATAATATAGATGAGAATAAGGACCTCTGCGTTGGACAATTTCAAACGATTGTTCAGAGTCTCAACCTGTAGATGTTCGGGAAGGGTAGGAGAGAACAGTAGAAAGCAAAGTAAGGAAAACGAATATAAGCGGACTCACGGGAAGCGGTTGGTAGTTGTGAAACACCAGCTGCTGTGGAAAAATGCATCCGAATAGATCAAGCGAGGAATGTTTCATGCAAACCAACCAAGAGGAACTCAGGCAAGAATCTAGGTGAGATTTCTCAAAAAGTGCTTGATTACACCAATTGCATCGAGGTCTGTATACAATAATTCTGGGGCAATTTTACCGCATCCTTCAAGGACACAGCACCACAACCGATGTTGTATTTGGCTGCATTATAAGTTGGTACACCGTAAGAGCGAAGAACTGATTCACCAACCCTAGCGAGTGTCATTCAAATTGCCTGGGAAAATATTTTCGTGAGAGTCCATCACAATTGACACCCATCACAGCTAAATACTTTCATAAACTTGCGACAGAATAGCCATAGTTGAAACCAAAAGCAACCCGAGTTCTTAAACATGGTTCAGTCAAGGTGCTGAAAACAGCATATTTTACTTCAAGAAAATAGACGGACCATAAAAGCATAAAAATGTGGGGCGAAGATAAAGTATTGTACAAATCACGATGGTCAGGAGCTTATGACACACTGCAATTGCATATGGGTAGGCTGGCAATTACGGATCGTACAGTAAGAGCATTAGATGCCTGCAAATCACGTGACTCACTCACGAGCGTTTTGTATTCGCTCATTTAATTGCGTAAAGCTGGATTTTGGTCATTCCCTCCTAGGTTTCATCTACTATCATTCAACATTCTCCTTTGTTCAACCTCCTAGGGCTCCTGTTTACCAACAACCTTTTTCGACCTGTTCGCGACTCAAACCGGTTTTCACGGGGGATGCCGTCCTGCTCAATCTCCTTTTGCCTTTGGATAGCGAAATCACCGCACTCCGGTGAACAACAGCGGAGCTACTTGTGTTACCGTTCCCTATTTGATTCTATGCAGAAAAAGCATATACATCAGACATCACTTGAAAAGAAACTGAACCTTCAAGCTGTCCTGGTAAATTGGACAAAATCTTAAGTAGTGATAGCTAATCCATATAATAATGACCGTAGAGTTCACAAGCTTATTTATCAACTCCCCCTGTCCAAGGCGAAACTACAAATAAGGTGCCAGTACGAAAGCTTGATAGTGTCATCATCGTCATCATCATCATCATCATCACTGACAACAATACCAGATGAGAAAATTGGTGCTAAACTGCTGGAAAAATAGTGCCACTTTATTTCAGTAAAGCTTTATGCTGGAAAGAATAATTGAATGGGACAGGGAGTGGGCCTAGGGCTGGCCTACCACAAAAATCCGAGGTGCATAGACCTCTAACATTCAGTCAGATAATCTGGATAGAAACTGACAGCATGGTCACCACTGACATCGCTCAACCGTCATATCGTTTGATGTCTCCAGCGAAACACAGGGAGGGTCACGTAATCCCCAACCTGGAAGGCAACAGCACCCAACGTTTCGTAACATCTTTCACTACCCTCCGCCACATCAAATTCTACCCACCTCCGAACTTTCACCGTTCCAAAAAGGTACAGAAAACGGTGCTCTTCTCAGCAGGTTGTAACTCGGCATGTGCAACATATGACTCAGTCATAATAACTTGCAGTGCTGGATTCATTCTTTGAGGAAATTACCTTTTGATTCACCAAAAGTCCAGCTCCTGAAAATCCGATTCCGAATTAGCTGGTTCCGGCTGATTCTGGTGATCGTTTTTAGAAGTCGATGGTCAAAGATCTGAAGACGCCTACGATCCTCCGTCCGAAGTGGCTAAGTTTCGCGTGACCCTCGCATGCGTGAGCATCGTCCAAAACGCTTGCCTAGTAACGCTGGTTTTAAGGACATTACAGAGAGTCCCTTACCACACATTCTGGGGAAACAGTAAAGCCAATTTGTATGAGGCTGTGGGGACCCAGTCTCTACAGAAAGACAAGCATAACCACGGTTACTCCGGCTAAATTAACCAAACAATCACAACAAGACTAATCAATTCACAGACCAGACATCACTAGAAACATAAGAGCAGTATCGAGCATTTTGCACATCCTGAAAGTCTTACTAGTTCTGATTGTAGTATGAGAGATCCACGAACGCAAGGCTCGCGTCACGTTAGCTAATTTCAGACACATGCAATCTCCAGGAACGTGTGTATCAGACTACAGTACGGGCTGCTTTGTTACACGGCTGTGAGGCTTGGCCTATTCGAGCTGCGGAACCGAGATGTCTTCAGGCCTTCGACAATCGTTTCCTCGGAACTATAGCTAGTCGTGGGTTGGTGTTGGTGGATCCGTAACGGAGAAATTAGAAAGCGGGTTTTCGGTTGTGTAACAGGAACTTCCCGTGAGGACTGTGTTCAGCACCACAAGCTGTGTTGGTTAGACTATGTACTGTGTATGCCGAATCATCGTTGCCGAACAGAGTGCCGTTTCCGCTCCCAATTCAGAGTGGCGGAAACAGACAGGTGGGCAGCCCTTGATCTGACAGAGGGGTATGAAAGAGAGTACAAAAGGTTTGGGCGCTGTCCGTGCTATTTGCCTCCAGGGATTGGGACCATATAAACCCCACTGCGACTTGCTAAAGATGTTGCAAGATATGGCTGCTAATCTATGTCAATGGCGTTTTTTATGTCAGTTTCTATCCAGATTGCATGAATGAGTATCTGGAGGTATAGGCACCTCGGAATGATTGTAGTAAGGTAGAACTAAGTCCATGTCCTGTCCAGCTTTAATCTTTTCTTCACATGGTTTTACGCAGCGAAGCATCGGTGTTGAGCACTGATATCATAATGTCGATGATGATGAGGTTGTGACCTTTTTTTCTTTCCTTACTTTGTGCTCGTTTGTTGTTTTCGGCGTGCCATTGAAACTTCCATATATAAAAATGATTTATACAGACAAGTTGATAACAATGCGAAAACAAATATTGGCCTATTGTTCGTCTTAGCACTGTAGCGACGACTATGTAAACCAAAGCCCGACTCTTCGGTTTTTCTACCTCAGTCATCTAACCGTACCAGACAACTATCCACGTCTGGCAGTCCCTAACAAGTTTCGACAGCCCAGTGCAGAGGTGAACAGTTCGATTCTTCTTTATTTTCCGGAATAGCTCGTCTTTGGAACTCCCTGCCTAGAAGCCCTTGTACAGTTGTGGTAACATGAACGCCTCACACGTCAGCGTTTGGATATGTATGATGATCTCCGATTGGAACAGGGCGTTAAATGATTACAGTTGAATGACTATGGTAATGGCGTCAAAACAGAAGGAGAACAGTGTAGTTTTGCAGGTTTCTCCCAGAGGAGTGCGAAATGTGAGGTGGGCAACGGGCGGTTTGGCAGATAGGTGTGAAAGCCCAATAAAAATGTGGATCCAGGACGGGATCTTTGTGATCCTTCTTATGCTTGCCCCCAGAAGTAGAAAACGGCAGCTAACCGACGCCAGCAATGTTCACGCTGCCGGTTTCTGTCCAGATCACCCGAGAAAGTGTTAGGGCATCTCTCTGTGCTAACGGCAGAATCCTTTCCTGTAAACTCGCTGCTTTTCAAAAGACTGTTGGTATGACAGCGAAGTATCAGCTTCACACCGTACAACGATGGTGTGTATGGACAAAATTATTTTACCCCGGAGAAGACTGCAGAGTGAGACAGCACCACCTGGCAGTTTGGCCACCAATAACGACTGAATGTTTTCCGAAACGCTCCCCTTGTTCAACGCACCTCCTCTGCTACGCCCTATTAGGTTTATCTTCACAACATAGAAACCACCGTGTTTTGAGCATGCAGGAACAGTGATCGTTGGGCAGATCATGACAAAAGATCACTGGAAAAATTAATTACAGAGTCATGCTAAACATTGCTGTAACTAACAAGAAACGACCGAAGAATTATGAAGGACCCAGAGATAGGCAGCTATCGTACAGGTGAGGAAATTTCGACGGACAAAGTTGGCAATCATAAATATTGTACTACTCACAAATGGACAGGACGAATGGCTCAAACCCACCTCTTCAGTGCTTGTTAGCAGGGCCGCCAAGTGTGTGGCAGCGCACGTTGTCCGATTATTGATACCCCGTTGCCATGCGGCATCCAGCTCGGCAAAGTTGGGATCAAGTGGAAATCCAAGATGTGGAAATAGGCCTGCATCGAACATACGCCGCAAAAGCATCGGAGTGGACGGGTAGGAAAGTATGTTCTTCAATTCAACCCAACACCGCTCCCCAGCTATTTTCGACAGACCAGCTGCATTTTCACGTATGGCCTGGATGGAAACAAAGCGAAACATACATGTTTGATTGAACACAGTTCAAAACAACGGGATCGCTAGCTGTTCCAGTCACTGGCCGGATCTATTGGTCCGATCCAAGGAATGATTGATGTTGACAGTGAAGCTCAACATCAAAGGAAACTAAGAAACACAACTGAAATCCCCGACACTAGGTTGAGCAGATCAGATAACTACTGCGGTCAAAAAACCTGGGAATTAATGCCATCGCCCAACAACCTTTGCAGGTGATGAATGCATACGACCTCATGCGTTTGCAAGAGAGATGGAAGCAAGAACAGAAACCGCAAACACTGGGTAAATGAGTTATGTAAGACACGTAGGAGCTCTAGATCTAGAAAATCTACCTCTGCTGCAGTCTAAGTACACAAATAACTGGAAAAAAAGATTGTGGGCTAACTAACTTACCGGTTTGGATGAGTGCATTAGAGTTCACTACACACTCGGTAGTGTCAGCATAAAGAAGCCTGATGAGCTCAGGTGATGTGATAGCTTATCCTGAGGAAACTGAGAATTTCATAGAGTGACGTCGCACAAAATACCAATACCGAAAAAAGCAATGGGTAAAACACTTACTGCTTACCTCTAAGGTGTCCGGATCATGAAGATCCTGTTTATCGGGATTTGCCAACCGTCCATGAAATCGGAAATAACGTAGAATCCTCAAATAATCCTCCTGAATGCGAGTGGCGGCATCCCCAACAAACCGAATATGACGACGGCTCAAATCTCCCCTACCACCAAAAAAGTCGTATACGCGGCCAAACACCTGAGGAGTCTTTGAGTTCAAAGTGGACGGTTGTTGAACACCCAGTCCGTGTGTGTCCTCCCGGTCACTTGGATGTGCATTCCCAACGTGGTTGTCAGGAAGAGTGCTCAAATCCAAACCAAGGAACATAGAATTGACTGTCAGATCCCTGCGACCCGCGTCCAACCGCCAGTCGTCCGTGAACACGACCTTGGCGTGCCGACCATCTGGTTCGGAATCGATTCGCAGGGTAGTAATTTCAAAATTGATCTGTTGCACGAAAAATGAGAGGTGGAAGTAGAAGACGGTCATTTCGATTTATGAGAAATGCATAGAACCAGACACCGAGGCGCGGAAAATTGACAGACATACTCGCCTTGTCGTTGATTCGCACAGTGACTGTCCCATGAGTTTCTCCGTTCCGATTCAAGGTTCGAATATTCTCCGAGAGGAACATCTCATTCATCTCCGTTGGGGTCGCATCCGTAGCATAGTCAATATCCTTGGGAGTAATACCAAGCAAAACATCTCGTACGGCACCTCCAGCGATGCGCAACTCGTAGCCATGTTTGTGGAACAGTTTGTGGAGTATAACGTTTTCCTCGCGATACAGTGATGGGAATGAAGTAAGATCTATTTTCTCACCCTCCTCGGAGGTCATTGTGAGAACTTTTGCTCCCACCGTAAAAGTGTGACAACAAGAAGGGGGATGGAACAAACTGGAATGGTTATTGATAGGCCTGAAAAACTTCGACGGCTTCCGTGTTATTAAAACTACGGAACTCCAGCGCAGAAGATGAACGAGGCGCATGCCAAGAACCCGTCCGGGTGTTCAGGTGTCCGCAAAATTATTCCAGTGCCTCGATCGAAGGAGATACAAGTAAAAAGAGCCTGAAACATAAGACAAATTTTAGATCCATTGCAATGATACATTTCAATCGTTTCGATGACCTGAAGTTGGACTTCGGTCAAGCTTGGAAACGACTGAGAGGCCACTTCATCGGTCACGCAGGCAGTGTGGAGATCAGAGTACACATGATATTGCAGTATAAATGATGAGCATCAAGGAATCTGAAGATCCTGTCAGTCTAAGTAGAATGGACCAAATGGACTGACTGCAAATACACTGAGGCGGCAGCCAATGTCACTCAAAATAACTCGCAGTAAGTTTTGACAAACAGTGCTCGAAGATGAGACTATTCCAAACTCAATAATAAAGTTAAAAATGAGCAAAGTGAAAAACTGTGAATGCGCTAACAACTGAAAAAGCATTTTGTACTCCCTTGTGGTCGGAAGAACCGGATCCTCTTTGGATGGAATTTCTGACAAGATAAAAGTACTTCGAAAGATTCCACTTCGCAGTGGTGCACTCCCCCTTCCCCAGAGAAAAAATCCAAGATCGTTACCCTGAGTCTGCGGCTTTTGAATTCTTAGGCCTAAAAGTGAGAGGAATTACTCGGGCAGAAGGCACATCTCCAAGAACACGGCAAATTCATCAAAAATAAGAATACAAATAGTAAATGTGATATTTGAGGTATTCCGTGATGGATCCATGAGCAAGGCTTTACTCATGCCTGAAGTATACTTTCTATGAATCTTAGCCCCGACCTTTTCGTCACAAAATGACCACAAAGGATGTAGGGTAGATTCACCACGCTAAAGACCATTTAGTTCAACAGTCATACCCGAGCAAGCGGTACTTTTGATCCGTTACGTAAGAATAAACCCGAATTACCCAAATTATTGGTGTCGAATAACGACAGCATGTGCATAGGGCGGCTGTTTGAGATGAAAATATTCAAAGGAAAACCCGAGGACCAGCAAATGACGCTTGTGTCTAGATTCATGACGTCAGCAAGGTTAAAGAAGCCCATGATTTAGCCATTATCCCCGTAGTGCGACCGTGAGATGCACTTCAGTGTTTTGAGTTTCAAGGATCTAAGTGCATCGTCCTGGTCACCAACTGCTTGAAGGATCTTGTAGCACCAGCCAGGGTCATTAATTTCGACGGCATCCAGTGTTCGCTCGGTCATGTTCAAGACAGAGGGTCTTGAACGACACTAGTCTTCCCTCTTTACATAATTCCAATACATCATGAGGGCACTAGCCAGAATTGTTTTGGCCCGTTGCTCTTTCTATGCTCCATGACCAGGCGCGGGTCATGGGTGCGTTCCTAAGGGACAACATGCGTCTACTTAAAGGACTTAAGTCTCGATATCAGGTGTTTTTTTTTGCCCATTTGACAGAATAAGGGTATTAAAAGCTCTTTTGTAGTATGATTATTTTAAATTTTGATTTTTTTTAGTTTTGATTAGTTTCGTTTGGTAATAGAGCAGACAAAGGTGTTCGGTCAGACAGGTAACATTAAACAATCCAGGGAGGTTTACTGGCTGGATGGGGAAGGGTTCGAAAGGGACATCAGTGGGAGCTATGGAAGAAAAGGATGTTTCCGGGTGGCCCGGATCGCGAATATGGGTTGGGTTGAGGTTCCCCACCAGGAATATTTGAGTCAAACGGCTGTCTCACAAGACGAAAAAATGTACAGTTGATACAGCTGTACGAAGCTAAGCT